GATAAAATTTTATCCTATGTTCATAGAAAATAAACTTGAATAAACTCAAATAACTGAAAACAGTAAGATACCGTTAATTTGTCACACGTTTAATTGAAGTAAGGCTTACATGTTGGAGAGAAAAAGCGGGATATATCCTACTCACTCATGGCCAGGTGTTGACCACATGTTTACGCGTGATATATTGCAGGCTAGCAGACGATTTTTATTATAATGACCATATCATCCAAGCTTGTCAAATCACGTATCAAAAGGGTTTATTTTCAATTCATTTGTAACGAGTAACCTAATGCAGTCTCTTTAACGTCATTAGCATAGTTGTAATAACAACATCCTGTCGATGTCTTTGATGTCTTGCACAAAAGCTATTTTTAGAATTGCTGAGTTCGCAGTAGAAAGTCTTGGTGAATACCAGTCAACTCGTCTACATGTCATCTCGTCCACAAAATTTTCACGGTTAACCCTTCTACAGAAATACCACGCAAGTTAACTCGTGCACAACAATTACCGACTTCAGTCGTCTACTTAAGTCGTTGGTTAATTTTGTTGTTTCTGTTGATTGCAAATTGATCAGTTATCAAAACAAGTTAGTTAGTTTTGTTCTTCCAATAATTGCCAAAATTCAAAATGGAGGAAAACGAAATAGATGGGGAAGAGTTACTTTTGAGGGGAGATAATACGAATTATTTTAAGTCGATCACCTGCGTTAGTATAGAATTTGAGAAAGAGAAGAGAAAAGACGCAGTACATGTTAATATGAATTCTGCTGGGCGATGCTCGATGAAGATTTAAATATTTCACAATTTTAACGCAGCCTATAGATCGTATTGAAATTTTGACTGGCTTATAATCATTAGGTAATTCCCCCCAGACAACTGCTACCTGAAAATTTCACTTTAAAATGACTCTATTTTGGACTGAAATTTCCCTCTGTAAAATCTTATTTTCAAACTTTTTTTTCAATAGTTGGCATTTTCATCAACCCAAAGACAATCTAAGACTCAGCAATGTTTAGAGGTTAATACTTCAATTCATACAAAAATGATTGCCAATGCAAAATGCGATCTTGTTAGAAATCAATGCGGCCACACTATGCAAAACACACGCTTGAATCACAATGAATGAATATCGAATATGATAATTTAAATTAGGAGTGTCCATATATTAACACTTTCTAATTTCGTATCTTATATCACGAACAAAAAAAAAACCTACCTGTCAGATTGTTGTCAATGTTGATAGCGAGGTATTAGGTGATGACTGATGGACTACAATAATTTCGCGCTAAAATGACGCCTTTTGCGCATGCGCTTTTCAAAAGATTTACTGACGTTTCAATACAAGGGAGGCTACTCTTATTAACAGGTTGGACAATTGGACAACCACGAAATCCAAAACTTAGGAGTTACTTCTAGAACAAGATATATTAACTCTTAAGGAGTGCTCAGACGAGTTTTCAGGGAAGGATTAGGAGCTAAACTCTCAATTTTTTTTTAACTCCTTAGTTCTGGTCAGACAACTTTATTAACTCATACTTCCTAAATGCTAGCACGGACGGACCGACGGACAGGGGCGACGACAATATACGACCATATATTCATGTGGGCGTATAAAAAGGGTAGGTATATTACAAAGCGTTGAAGAGTATTGACTTTCATTCAACACTAATCATCAAAGGATCGAGACAAAATATGGTGATTAATCACGTTTAAAGGTGAATCTAATACTTATCATGTGATACTTCATAGTTACTGTTTTGAAAAAATACTATATTATTGAAACATTTCCTAAGGCTTTCCAGATAATATCGTTAAGAGTTTCATTTTGGAAAACAACATAATGTTGGAGTACTTGATTGTTCCTTGGTTGTTTCTTGCTGTGGTTCAAGAAGTTCATAAGAGTGATCATTCTGGTAGAAATCAGACATTCTTTCATAATTATTATCTTGACTGTTTCTGATGCTACTGGATGGTTGCACAACCAGTTGATCAATGTTTGTTTCTTGGTGTGGTACACTGTTACTTGATTGGTTCCGGGTTCCTGTGTTTTGTTTGCATTGGATCTTAACCTACAATTGATAATAATCAAAGACTTAAATGTGCATTAAGAATACCCATAAAAATTATGTCGTTCCGTTTTCTCTCTGGGGTAATACGCACATTGATTAACATAATGAGCTGTGATCTCTCCAAATGAAATAACAAGTTGACACCCAGAAACATTCTTTTTTTATGATAGAGTAGAAAATGATTCAATTCAGAAAATACTCTGGTCGGACGAACTGGAATTTAAAAATAGGTCGTCAGGATAGGTAACGTGCATCTTTGTTTAAATTAAACATTTGACAGGACGACAACCATCATCAGTAAGAAATATTCAAACTTTACTCTAACACTTTTTTCAGAAACTTTTTTATATTAAGAACAATTTATAATAATCAAAGACTTTGTAACGATATCTGTTTAACTGTATTTACTTGTTATCTCCCTTTAATGTACCTCGCATGCGCGCTGTAAAAAGGAAGTTCTCGGTATGTCTCTCTAATAAATAACGTTGTTAAAACTCTCTAGTCTTCTCTGGCTCACCAACTTAACATACAAGACAACAACGTTACAGTCCCTATGGCCTATATGCATGAAAACTGACCAAAATTATTACTTGATCTATGGCAGATATTTGAGTTCTGTTTTTTCCCACATGTAGAGATAGTCCATTTGGATATTCCCAGCAAGTTTCAGTCTTGTAGCTCTGTAACTTTTCGAGCAAAAAAATTATTTGTGTTTGAGCACTTTTTGACTACCATTGTGCAGACCAGAAATTGATACTTTTCAAACTTACAGATTCTAATTAGTTTTTTGAGTTTTTTGAACTCCCTGGGGTCCAATTAGTAGGAAAAGACCAAAACATGAGAAAAATTGGCATATTTGGCAAAGTTGGTCATTGGCCATATTTGGTCCCTATGGCCTATATGCATGAAAACTGACCAAACTTATTTCTTGATCTATGGCAGATATTTGAGTTCTGGTTTTTCCCACATGTAGAGATAGTCCATTTGGATATTCCCAGCAAGTTTCAGCCTTGTAGCTATGTAACTTTTCAAGCAAAAAATTTATTTGTGTTTGAGCACTTTTTGACTACCACTGTGCAGACCAGAAATTGCTACTTTTCAAACTTACATATCGTCGGTGAAGTTTCAAAATGTCTTATCTCGATTTTGTCAACTTTTCAGCAGACACATAAAACTTCATAATTTTTTCTCTGTATAAGATACGAAGTTGATCTTTTGAAGTTTTGCAGTTTAAAGCGCGATATATGATCTAATGCAGTGCATTTAATCATTGACAAACCCATGTGTGCCTCAACCAAGTTACGACAATTTGACACTTTAAATGTGAATTTAAAAGACTCTATACGACTTTTTGTCACTCCTTGACCATTACTCAAGCCTACGAATTCTCAAATGATTGTATATTTTGAATGTGAAATGAAAGGAGAAATATTAATAAACATTTTATTTAACATTAATACGAACTAACAAAACTGAAATTGTTGCTGTCTATCTGAAAAATTTCTGTAACCAAATCTATAAGAAGCTCAATTAACTTCAGGAATAAATCAGTGTCAAATTTTTTTCAGAACAAAAACCATTTTAATAAGTCAGGTGTTTTTTAATGTTGCAAATTATCATAAAAGGAATGATAATCCACAGGTATCACCGATTTCAGTTCTTGCAAATGAGTATATTTAGAACATTTAATATTTAAGGAACTCGAGTATGCCTTTTCAATTTGTTCACCAGATGGTAATTCACGAAAGCACGTCTCGGTAGTTCTTGCAAATTATCATCAAAATGTAATTTGTATTGTATTCTAGAATCAGTTTCAGGAGAGTATTTCAACACACGTATGTCATTAACCACGGGATCGCCAGCTTTTGTCCCAGGCCGAATTGAAGAATAATAGTTCAGTTTCTTATATTCACCAAAGAAGTCATGGGATATGTATTTAACATTGTATGGATGTGGAACTATGCGAGCTTTCTTAATGTAATCAACATATTGTTGAGGGCAGTAAATCGGTTTTTTACGTAATTTACGTTCAATGGTTGAGTGTACACTATCTGCTTCCATCTGGGTATGTCCCTTCTCAAGATATTTTTGATAAATTGTTAAATTATCCTCGACAGCAACTTTATACAAAGCATTTGATAGTGTGCTATTACGGTTTTGATAGCAACATCCGTCACTATAGATTACTAAGCTTTTGATGTTTTTGCCCAGATGCTTTATATAATCAGTCAGAAAGGATGCAAATGTGTTGGAACTCAGATCTCCTTCACCTTCGTGCCATATATAACAGGTTACATCACTTGTTGCCAGATCATATACCGTAAAATTGTGTACAGCAAGCTTCGTCTTGTAGTAAAGGGCACCTTGCTTGCAATGAGGGACACAGGAGAACAGCTTGAACATCCACTGTTATAACAGCAAGAGAATCATCTGATATAGCTGCTTCTTTATCAGTTGCCTTTTCAGAACGAGCAGCATTCTTACGTTGAATGTGTTGATTATACTGTTCTTCGTCTACGTTCCCAACCTCATAAGAACAACAAAGATCACATTGATCTTTACGAGGTTTGAATAACGAAAGATTCATCTCGTCAAAGATATTTTTAAAAGACGTTCTGTTCATTATTGGATTGTTGTTTTCTCTGCAATGTTCAGTGTACAGATGATAAAGACTCATAAAGGTAGAGAATATAGGTTCAAGATACAGCTTACTTGAGGTACTCCTGCAGTAATGTGATGGTAACTTTGGTAAACTATCAAGGAAGTTTGAAGATTTCTGATAAAGATCACTGTTCATATCTACTGACCCCTTCCTGGACCTTTTTGTACATGGCACTTTGGCAGTTTTAGTGGTTGTGTTAACCCAATTGTAAAGAGTTTTTTCACCGATATTAAGGGTTGTAAGAAACAAATTTTTGCAGACATAAATTCGTGCCCCATCTTTTCTCAGGTAGTAATTATATGTGTAGTTTCTCCTTGATGAAGCTGGTGATATAGTGGTTCTGTCCTGAACATCCTGCCGTTCAACTAAGTTGCTAATCAGAACCTTCTTTTCGGACCAAGTCATATTCCAAAATGACAAAAACATTTGCTGTCGGTCATCCTCGCTTATATTATTACATTGTTTGCGTTTGTCAGCTTCACAGGCTTTTGTGCATTTTCTTGGTTGAATCTTTCTTGGGTGTCTAATGTTTGAATTCGGTGACTTGTATACTTTACCTTCCATGCGCAAACGTTTATTTATATTTCTATCCCAGTTCTCAGTATTGGCTCTACCTTGCTTTGCTCTCGTCTTTGTTACAACGACCTCTTCGTGATCTAAAATATGATTTTCAACAACTGTATCGTCGCCACTATCAACTGAAGCTAAAGTGTCAACCGGATCTAAAATTGGTATTTGGATACTGTGAACCGTGTTCTCTCGTAATAAATCTTTGTTTTGGTTGTTTTCAGTTACTGTGTTCTCTTGTGCTATGGTATCAGGTATATCAAGTGGTGAATTTGTTTTTTGTGAAATATTATTGACATCAACTACATTCTGGTTGGCAATGACATTTGCAAACGGTGTGAGATGGGCATTTGTGTTGGTACGCTTTATTTTTCTAAAATGTTGTAATATTTGATCGTCATCGTCCGTGCTGAGATCAGCCTTCCTGAGATCATGTTTTGTAGGTGTAAAGTGTGGGTCCCTTAGCGAATCATCTGAATCAATTGATTCTTGAAAAGAGTCAGAAGAAGTTTCATCACTATCATTGTTGGCGTTGCAACTAGATGTGTTTTTTGGTCCACAAAACATTTCATCCACTGTTGGACTATTAGCATTGGTCCTGATGGAATTAGCACCAACAGTAACATCAACTGTAGCATCGACCCGTTCAACAGTATCTACAGCATGTGTAGGAGATGATGTAGATGATGAACTCGACACTAGTGAGAGCTGTAGAATCCGTTTCCCTCGCGAAAGTGTAGATTCTGTAGCCATACCTTATTAAATCTGAAATAACATGTTCAAACTTAAATTCTAATTTATATAACGTAACTTTCCCATAACCAATGATTACAATAAAATCAACAGAGATTGCTGCCATGAACATAATTTCAAATTCGGAAATACACACTGCAAAATGTCGTATCTCTTTTAAAGAAAATAACACCTGTTAAAGTAACTGTAGGGCTTTAAATTGACAAAATTATGGTATTTTCATTCATGAATTATAGCAGAATGGGTGTATAAATGATATAAAATACCAGTTTTTATAAATTTATGCCATGAAACTGAGTTTAAAAAATGTCATGACCTAGCCTAACAAATAAGTGATAATTGACGTTTAAGAGCATTTTAGGTTCATAGCCATGAATAAAAATCTAACGCAAACAAATACGCAAGGCTTACTTACCTGATTATAATAATTAAAAAGCTTCTTGGAAGATTTCTGCTTACATGCAAACTTTTTTTCGAGATACGATATATTACACTTCAAAATTTTCTCCAATCCATATAAGACAATTTGACACATGATCATATAACTATTTTTAATTGGAGTAGAGTTAAGGCTACCAGATGAAAAGACGCGCCAAACGATGAGGAAATCAGAAATACAAAACGTCATTTTTAGTCAAATCCCGAGTTACGACTTTTTAAAACTTCACCGACGTTATGCTGTTCATTATATCTCGTATATAAATATTTGAACGTTGTGTCTATATTTTATTATTGAATACAACATTCCACTCTATTCGCTCAAATTTAAGGTTGAATTTATATACTGTATATTATTAATGGTTATAATTCTGTAGGCTAAAGATGTATGGTTATAGTCCTGAACAATGAATACAATTGAATTGAATTACAAATGAATCGAATCGAATTACACAGGACAATTTCCTTTTATTATCTTACATGTTTCGTCGATACGATCAGTTACCTAGTGATACATTAAACTTCCCGGTAGACATTTTAATATTTTAACACAGTGAATCGCCCTGTTTCTCTGTTGAAGGTATATATTTCAATATTTCTAGTGAAGATAATATACCATAACATAGTGAAATCATTCTGTTTGTCTGTGGAAGGTATATAGAACTATATTTCAATATTTCTAGAGAAAGATAATATACCAAAACATAGTGAAATCATTCTGTTTGTCTGTGGAAGGTATATAGAACTATATTTCAATATATATAAGTCAAATTTTGAAGAATTTAGCATGGCGGCTGCTTTACCAAATAATCCCGACCTAGAATGTTCCATTTGTTTCGAAAGTTTTAAAACCCCCAAAATTTTATCCTGTGGACATTCGTTTTGTCTCGAGTGTTTGGTGAGATATATTGATGGCAGAAAGAGGATATTTCCATGTCCACTCTGTAAACAGGATGTTAAAATTCCACAAGGTGGTGTCCTCAAGTTTATTACAAATTTCTCTTTACAAACCTCAACGAAAACTCCAAAAACAACCCAACCATCAAAAAAACATAATTGTCCAAATCACAGTAAGAAGGAGGTAGAATATTATTGTCAAACTTGTAATTTAGGATTGTGTTCTAAATGTATCTTTAAAGATCATAACGACCATGAAACAATAGATTTAGAATGTGATACTACAAGAGAAATGGTAGTCGAAGAACTTTCAATTTCTGAGCAAATCATTAAAAACAAAATTATAGATTTGGAAACAACCCATACATTTTTGTTAGAAACATCAGAAAAACTAAAATCTTTTTGTGATGTAACATGTACCAAAATCAACCAAAAAACTATGAAAATTATTGGTGAATTGAAAGAAAATTGTGAGAAAAGACGAAAAGAAGTTCAAAATCATTTTAACAAGAATGAATTACATCTGACAGAAGCCAGACAGAAAGTTATGAACCAGATAATAAATATCAAGTCTGATTTAGATATATCCTGTCCTACAACAGAGGAACCATCTTTAACTCTAATATATTCACTGACTAAACTCCAAGATTTACAGAAACTCTGTGAAAACATGAAGACTGATATACCTCCAGTAACGTATTTAGAATGGAGAGAGGAGAGTGTAAAAGTTTGTGATATTTTGGGATCATCCGTAACTAAATCACTATGTCAATCCAGACAGGATAGTGGACCTATATCAACTAACATTAAATCACAATATCAATCTAGAGAGGATAGTGGTCCTATACCAACTGTAACTAAACCACTATATCAATCTACAGAGGGTAGTGTATTCCAATTTAACTATAAAAATATTGCGAGATTTGCTAGGTGTTACAGTGAAGATATAGGTAACAATGGTGGTTTGATATGGAGCTGTATGGTATACAGGAGTTTAAATAATACGATGTGTTTTAATATTGACGTTCTGTCACAAGTTGATTATTGTAAAATAGAATATACATTAACTATTCTCAATAAAGATAAAGATAAGAATGTGACCAGTGGAACAAAGATTGCGATATTTACACCACGCGTCTTAGATAAATCTGATTTGACAATACCGTTGCGTATACTAACTGGTCCATCTACCGGATTTGTTGATTTTGCGGGAGAGTTCCAAGTAAGATTAGATATACTACAAGTCCTTGATATTAAATATAAATAATGGTTAAACATGAACAATCACCACCAGTACTAGTTATCTCGTACTCTGGTACTACAGTGATTTCGTGATTTACATTTTGCATTGTTAAATTTTATAAGCAATTAGTGACAAGGATGACCGAGCTATTAGATTTCGGGGAAGGGAGGGTTTGATTCTCCCAAATGTACAGGCCTAAGGGTGGAGCAGACACTATCATTTTCTGCTTATAGACATGGGGGAATTTCTCTTGAAGGCTCTTACTATTTGAAGTCAAGTCAATCGTGAACACAATTATAAAACAGGTCACATTTACTTGGCAAAGGACCAAGAGTCCAATATTTGGAGTCCATTATTAATGTCAATATTGGACTCATGGCCATTTGCCAGTCCCATGATGTTGCATAATGGTACACCGAGATCAAAGAGTGACGTCACATCTGTATTTTAAATTTAGTTATTAGTTGGTCATTATTAACTTCAAGGCAGGTGACTGAAGCATACATTTGGTTGAATAAGTGGAAGTTTGGAAATTCACTTGTGAAGATGTGTTGGTTTAATCTCAGTAGTTTTATAGGAAGTAATTGAGTTGTTTTTACTGATAATTCTGTAGGATTTAAGATAGAAGAATGGTGGATTTTTGATATAGGATTTGTGACTCCAGCCAACTGCCTTTTGTAAGATATGTGTTATGGATGTGAATCATAGAATTGATTATTAATGAAAAGAACTGTCTGTATTACTTAATAGTTTCAAATTAATTAAAGTTGTATTGTTTAACTCATTTGTTATTTTCTATTACCTTGCATGTAAAAATAGATGTCATTTTTATATATGACAGTGTCTCAAAACGCCTCGTCTTTTTAAATTTCGGATAATTCTGGACACACATGGATTTGATTGCTCAAATTTCGATGGAGAGCTGTGTACACTATTACTGACTTAGAAATTGCCGTCTTTCAGACTAAGGTATGATAGGTGTCAAATAAAAGCCAGGTGTTTCCTTTGAGATCAGACTTCAAAATATAGACAAAAATCAAAGATAAACAGGGTTTCTAATTATACAGTTGAATAATGATGTAAAATAAATTAGTGGTCAGTGTCCATCACAGAGTTCCTTGGGGAGAAGTTATTGTGTATGATTTAATATTGCTGATAGGCTTCGCCCACAAATTGATGCACAGCCTTAAATCTCGATTTTTTGGTCTTTTCTGACCCAATTCCGACAATTCGTAGAGTTCGGGAGTTCGGAATTATACACCCATTTTAAACTCATTTAGGCACACATTTTTAAAGCACGCACCTTATTTAGACACAGTACTTTAAGCACACTTCTTTAAGCCACACCACTGTCCAGCTCTAGATTATTTAGACCAAATCCAGGGTCTTCCTCATCCCAGCTCATTCATCTCGCCACTATCTAGCGAATACCACTGTCGAGCTCTAGAATATTTAGACCAGATTCAGGTTCATCCCCATCCCAGCTCATTCACCTCGCCACGGGAAGGACGTCGGCCAGGAATTATTGTGATCTACAAGCAGGATGATGGAACTTATGCTTCCTATTGCTGTTATCATACACGTGCCTACAAGTGATAGATGACATCAAATCACTACTTGATAATCTTCCTCTGGTTATCTTAAATAGGTAATCTTCCTTCTTAAGACACGTTCAATGATAATTAATCATCGTTCTATAGTATTTCACTGATCACATCTGATTGATGTAACCGGGTTAGCTCAGGGGGATAAACGATATCAAAACCCGAATTACTGATATTTCATCCTCACTTCTTGATTTAGCTATAGTAAATTGTCCAGATGTTGTGACATCTTCCAAAGTTCTTCCTTGTACAATTAGCGATCACTCGCCCATAACACTCTAAATAAACTTTCAAAATATAAACAGGAAACCATTCCAGAGAACCGTTTGGAATTACAACGACCTAAACTCTTTGGAGCTTAATAACTTTTTCATTAATTATGATTGGAATAATATATTGGATAGTTGTAATGTAAATGATTGTGCCAGAGAAATTTCGAACAAAGTACAAGAAGGGATAAACATATTTGTTCCTCATAAGGTAGTGTTGATTAGATCACGTGACACCGAGTGGATGAACGGCTATTTACCAAAGATCATAAGAAAACGAAATAGGATACACAAAACTGCGAAACACATAAAAGATGATTACCATTGGAAATTATTTCGTGCGCAGAGAAACTTTGTAGTCTCAGAGATAAGGAGAGTTAAACGAGAATACTATGCTAAACTTGATGAAACGATAAATTCAAACAAATTTAATGATCATCACTGGTGGAAACTTTTGAAACTCTATTAAAGATATACCACCAATCATATGTGGTGACGATATCATCTACTCAGATTCCACCAAATCTGACATTTTTAATAAGCACTTCGTATCACTTTCTAACCTTGAAAATGATAACGATGAATTACCTCCCCTTACATGTAATAACTTTGAAATCGCCCAACCTTTTTACACACAACGGGATGTCCAAAACATATTGGAATCTCTAGATACAACTAAAGCAACCGGTCCCGATCTTATCAATAACATGCTCAAATAGTCTTTCATATCCGCTTTCAAAACTTTTTAATTTTTGTCAAGAAAACTCAACTTTCCCCGATATCTGGAAATGTGCGAACATAGTCCCAGTATTCAAAACAGACGATCCAAGTATCTGCTCTAATTATCGACCAATATCTTTAATAAGTTCGCTTGGTAAAGTTTTTGAGCGGGTTATTCATAAACATATCCATAATTTTGTTATAGATCACAACATACTATCGCAATATCAATCCAGATTTACTCAAAACGATTCTACGACATATCAACTTATTGACATCTATGATGATATTTCAAAATCACTAGACTGTGGATCCGAAGTCAAAATGGTCTTCTTTGATATAAGTAAAGCATTTAACAGAGTTTGGCTGAATGGTCTTATTCATAAGCTCAGTTCAATAGGCATACGAGGAAATCTTCTGAAACTCTTAGAAAGCTATCTTCGAGACAGAACACAAAGCGTAGTAATTAAAGGCGAGACATCCCAACGAGAAGTGCTTAAAGCTGGGGTCCCCCAGGGCTCAGTCCTCGGGCCAATATTATTTCTGATATATATTAATGACATCACATGTGATATTAGATCAAACATTCGATTATTCGCAGACGACACCTCCCTTTATCTCACTATTGGAGACGAGGGGAGGAGTTGTGATATTCTTAATAATGATTTGGAAGCCATATTTCAATGGTCTGAAAGGTGGAAGGTAACGTTCAACCCTTTGAAAACTAAATGCATAACCTTCTCAAGGAAAGTAAAACCACCTTCCTTCAATCTGCGTTTCAATAATACCACTTTATATGACGAACATAAACACTTAGGGATATATTTTAATAAAACCTGCTCCTGGACCACTCACATCGGTTGTCTAATATCCAAAACTTCAAAGCTAATAGATTGTCTCAGAAGTACAGACTTTCGAGAAAATCACTTGAAACCCTCTACAATTATGATTATGATTATGATAATTGTGACGTACTTTGGAATAATTGCAGTTTACACGACGCGAATAAAGTAGAAAAACTTAACTTAGACGCAATTAGAACTATCAATTGGAAATAAGGAATATGATAAACTAAGTACCAAAGCAAAACGAAACCCAAATCATTTTGGTGTGGCAGACTTTCACACGCCGACCGAGACTAGAACCCACAGCCACCATTTGTTCGATGAAACCATGCACATGAAATCATTTACAGATTCCATAGCTCTAACTGAATTATTATTACTATTATTATTATTATTATTATCAAGATGTATTTATAAAGCACATCTTTCACCTGAGTACCCAGATGCACCTTACAGTAAAGTAGAAGCTAGTTTCAATAATTATTTAGTTTAATGGATATATCGTGTTATAGAGATTCTATTCTTTAGTCATGACACATGGAGTCCGTTATTAGGTTTCATGTGCT